TACAACATTATTGGCTGAATAAACATCTTGTAAGTGGTGTAGAGATTTGAGTGTGCACAGCTCCATACGCTACCAGCAAGACGCTTCAATACATTTAGTCTATTGGAGACTCGTTCTGCTATTTTAGCAATGTGACTTTTCCACGTTAGCTTTGTGTCAAACGTTATTCCGAGATAAGTGAACTCATTGGTTTTTTCTAGAGTAGTATCCTTGTAATTTAGAAGCGGGCGTATGCTGTGACGGGCCAAAGGAAATGTTTGGAATGCAGTTTTCGCGGTGTCAATTACCATTCAATTGTTGTTGCACCAGTTTGCTAGTAGTCTATGTGCACAATTTAGGGCACTTTCTGTCCTCTCCTGAGCGTTTTTATTATTGGTGGAATACTATAGAACAAGATCATCTACATTGAGTAAGCACTTGATGACCGTGACTGTCTGTGCCAATTCGGCTATGTCATTGATGAAGACATTGAAAGAGTGCAGCTTGTGACAGCTCCCTGTGGAAGGCCTGTTTGTAAAAGATTGGATTTTGATAGAACATTACCATATCTGACTTTGCAAAATCTTTGTTTAATGAATGCTTTTATCCAATTTAGCATGTTATGCTTAAAGCCAATCTTTGCCAATTTTAGAATTAGCTTCTCTTTCCATACTTAGCCATATGCTGATTTGAGATCGACGAAAACATCTTTTCATACTAAGTCATATGCTGATTTGAAATTGACGAAAACAGACTAAGGGTATTTCTTGCATCAAGGGCATCTTTGATGTGTTTGAGGGTATTTCTTGCATCAAGAGCATCTTTGATGTGTTGGGGGAAAGGGACTACTTGTTGGTTTGTTGATCTTTGTGGCATGAAACCTGCTTGTTCACTCCTAAGAATATTGTTGGTCTCAAGGAACCATTGTCAGCCTTCTGTTAACCATTCTTTCCATAGGTTTAGCCAGTGCGCTTGTGAGAGAGATAGGCCTATAGTTGTCGAAGTTGTTAGGGTCTTTGCCCTTCTTTAGTACTGATATTACTATGGCAACTTCTTGCCCTTTTTTGGTACTGGTATTACTATGGCAATTTTCCATCGGAGACTGGTCTCCCAGATTTTGTTGAAAAGTGTCAGCATGACTGGTCTCCCAGATTTTGTTGTAAAGCGTCAGCATGGTTTACTCTCCCAGATTTTGTTGTAAAGCGTCAGCATGGTTTCCTTGTTTTTGTTGTAAAGCGTCAGCATGGTTTCCTTAGCTTTTGGTACACATAATTAGAAATTCCGGATGAATACCGTCTTTGCCAGGAGAAATTAGAAATTCCGGATGAATACCGTCTTTGCCAGGAGACTCCTTGCACTTTAGCTGTTTTATCTCAGCATTATGTTCGCAAGGTCTGAATGGTTCAGTAAGTACATTATTGGTGTTGCTATGTCTTTCTTAATTTCACCCAACTGTCTCTTGAAGATTTTCTGACAAAAGGGTTTTCCTTTTGCTTGTGGGAGTTGAACCTGGCAAATAAGTTAGCTATTTCGGAGTCCTCAAGGTGTTTAAACCAAAACACTCGATAGTGTTTAGTTTTGCCTCGGGGAATAGTTTTCTTTGCACATCTGATCATAATATTCGTGATATCATTACAAATTTTGTCAGGATGTTGGTTGAAGTTGAGGGGACTTGTGTGAGGTTCACTGTCTAAAAGGTTTGTGAATCTAGGCTAGTCAGCCTTCTTGAAGTTCCATGAGAGCTTAGTTGGCACTTTCCTTGTCATGCTTAAAACAGGACACGCATACTGCGAACGATGTTTGGAGAATGAGTTCAAAGGCCAAGCCCATGGCGATACCAGATAAGATTGAGTAGGTAAAGGAAAATAGCACCTTTTGCCGCATTGATGCATAGGCAGATACGAAGCGGCTCAAACTAAGCAAAAAGCATGTCAGTGGAAGTAAGGAATTTATATAAAATCGCATAACTATGTGCAATTATATTTACATTAAAAAAGAAATAACTTAATGGGGGTTAAATATCAACTTCCATTTCTTAACCATATAAATAAAATATTTGTCACCCTTCTCAAGTGGTACCTGTTCTCCAGGCTATTTTCATCGAAATTTGGATCTGTAGATTCCCATGGTAATCTTTAGCTCCCCTACACGCTAGTGAAACCTCAGATGACCTTATCTAATTAGAGCCATTGAAGTACCCAGTAGACACTTTAGGGATTATAACTATGCCTCAATTTACTCCAATTAACAGTGACCTGAATCAGCTCATCTATTGCCTCTTGTCTATGGCTTAGCTTGTCCGTTCGCCATAAGTACATACTTACAACTCGGACTTTCCCCAAAACCCACAGTCTTCTTCATCTTTCCTAGTCCACTCTCTCCACACTACTGTTTTCGTGGGAAAGATTGGTGAGAGGTAGAAGATACGACTTACGGAACAGCTCATGACCCAACTCAGGTGGCTTATCTGCTATTGCTTTTATTGTTGGCCTGAGCGCACTTTATCTCCAAGAAGGGCATCAGACGAAGTCCTGTTTCCTTAAATCCCACTTGGTAATGAGTAAAAATCCAAGGAAATAGAATGGGGATAAAAAAAGAATGGTGTGTTAAAAATGTTTGCCGATTTGTGTACTTGCTTTAACTCAGCTAATTGGGCCTGCTAACTGCTTGTTTCTTCCCACCTGAAATATTTTAAATGGAGTGTGAGCAAATATTTCATCTTTTAATTTACTTAGTCAGATTTTTTCGAGATAAAAGAGGTTCAAGTGTGAATATAAAAGGTTATTTCCAATGATCTTGATGTACAACTCAACCCGAATGAACATGTTTGAAGAAATTTTTGTCAGTTCATTTGATGTGGCCTCCACAATCACACTTCAACTCTTTGTTGTCGTTTGACACAGACCTTGAGTTGGAATATGGGTAAAGTCTCATTAATGCATTGAATAGTTTCCGATGAGGCAACAGTATGTAGTCAGTTACTTTGGAAATTAGCGCCTGAGACAGTTGTTCCAAACTTAGCAATCCTTTTGGAATAACACATTTTAGCATTTAACATTACAAACGATTCACATCCCCCCATTAAGCTTCGACGCTCCTTGTTCAATTGAAAATAGCCTTTTCTAGTCACAAGCATCAGAATCCGTTAGCACTGGATATCGCCTGAACCCATGCAAGTGCTCAATATTACTTGGCCTTTCCAGTGTCGAACGATTCAATAATACCTCCTTTCCACATAAAGTCAAATGTTTGAAACGCCTTATTTAATGCGATCAACCACCTTCCTTATGAAATAGGAAATATAATTTATATTCACCTGTTTTAGAAACTAGCAATGACAACCAGTTAGAGGCGCAAATAATTGCATTTCATCACAGCAGAGCTGGTTTGAGCTCGTTCAATTCGCGTTACAATATTATATATAAGTAAATCTTTCTCCAAATCACCTCGTTATAGACAGATGAACCATACAAATAGGAGAAAAGTACTTATTTTTACTCAAACTACAAATAAAAATGACCAAATGAATCACACTTATCTACTCCTGTTAGTAAGTGGCTGAAATTAAAATCTTTAATCTCATATAGTGTTTGAAAACGAGGAGAGAGCCCGATGAAATTTTTTGAAATGAATATTGACCCGATTATAGTGCGTGTAATGTTCTTTTGTGATAACAAATTGTATGATAAAAAATTATGATTATTTGATTGTATGATTATATATATATATATATATATATATATATATGTACTGCTTATGTTAACGTGGCTGATCTAACACCCAAACTAATCGACTTGTCAGTGAGTTCCAGTCTTTATGAACATATGAACGAAAATTCATAACTTTGAACATAAAGAAGTAGACTTGCACCAAGAAGAGAGAAAAACACGTACAACTTGATCCAAAAAATCAATTCCGGGTACTCATTTAGTTTCTTCAAATTTATTGACACTATATACTCATTTCCTAGGTCATATGGGACATTTTCATTGCTCACCACAATAAACAGGAATGAGGCGAATGCAGAGCTAGAGAAATTCACTCATTTCTTGAATATTACAAAACGGGATAAATTTAAGAATCTTCATAATCACTTCTCTTACATCTATTCGCCTTGAATTGCTATTTAAATAGAGAGATTACCAGAAGTATCTTTACATTTAATGCCTATCTATAGCAACTCCAAGCTCCCATTCAATACTATAATGAGTTCTCAAATTCCTTTTAATTGTTAATTCCATTGATTGTTCTGCTTATTTAATCCTTAAGTGATGGGGCCTAGATTCTTCCTCACACAATCAATTAAGTGTTAAAGAACTCCACCCCAATTGCTGAAATGTGAAATATCATCGGATGTTAAACTATTCGTGCCTTCGATAGTCTCAGTGACTCTTGGAAGGTTCTCTGAAATAAGTACACCAGCCTCTGCTCTTTAACCACATATTTGACTCTATCGGTGTTTGGCCATCAGTCATTCCAGTCATAAGCTCTTCGAATCATTCACCTCCTCTTTGGTTTGGCCACTACTTCTGCCAACCACTTCCAACAATACATCTGATTAATTCAAACGTCTTCCTTCATTATCCCATGCTAGTAAGGAGTTGTGGCGTTCACTACTATGCCAATGTCATAGCAGTGTGACCACAGCTTTTATTTACAAAACCGACGAAATTAATATGATTATTTTAGCCCACAGTGTAGTATATAAGAGGAGGCAGAAGCGTATAGAGAGAAAATGTGAGTCCCACTACAATTAGAAAGTGGGAATTTTTGAGAGGGTGAAAGTGGAAACCAGAGGGGATGCTATAGAAACAGGGTGGTTTAAAAGATAAATGAAGGAGAAGGGAGAGTTGAGATAGAACACAGCCTGAAAGATTTCCACATAAAGGTCTATAGAGGACCCGAGAATTCATCAGCATTTTTCACTTCGTCAAGTGGTAGTTTGTCACTATCATGTTGAGGTCTGGAAGCGCTCGGTTTGATGGCCAATGATGGAACAAGGGAGTGAAAGAGAGATGGGTTAGTGGCTACCAAAGAAGGTACCTCCTCAAACACTTTCATTGAGGGATCCAAATTCCCACCACCGGTGTAGAGAACACTATGCTGTCGTTGCTGGGTCAGTTGCGTAGCCGTTGAACTACCAAATACAGAAATACTTGAAGCCACTTTGAGGGATGAAAGTCAACGGATAGCGTTTTGAGGCATATAAAAGCGATTGCGGTTCTTCACACGAACAATACACACTGTGATGAGAAAGGAGAAAGCCAAGTAGGCCAAATTGAGGTAGATGACCCAACCAAGAGACATGAGTGCATTTCTCCAACTTTCCATTTCGCAGTCTTCAAGGCCGTGAACAGAATCAGTTGAGGTATAACATGCGTAACAATATTTAGTCTTTCCCGGATTTCTCGCAACCTGCATTACAACGTGCACACACTTATCTGACCAGAAAGGACTCTCGTGAATATCATAGGCAATGTCAATGGAGAATATTCTTCAATTTGGTGGAAGAACTGCATCAGAACCGGTTAAATTTTATCGAACCAGATCCCACCTAAAATTAAACAGAGTAATCAAAAACGATGCACAGTCGCTATTTTTTCCTAATGATATAATTCGTAAAATGACAGACTAAAAATCTTCAGTGTCATTAATGAAGTCGTGTTTGGCTGTTGATTCTAGATTTGTGTTCTAAGGCACTTGGCTAAGTCTGCTCAAACAAACTCGAGGAAATTCGACTTTTTGACACATCATAAATGGATGATAGTAAGGTTATTCGTATAATCAACCCATGCACTTGACAATTGCCTCCCATTGGAATTGGCTCTATTGCTAACTGAATAGGTGTCTAATCAACCTCCTTGAAATTCAATTGATCAAAATTCAAGGTCACATAGGAAATAAATATTATATACTTTGAGCCGCGTTTTAATACAAAAGGCGCATACAATTCTGATGAATCTGGAAGTCTAGAAAAGTATGTTCGTCGTGAAATTTAGTAACATCTAGACTAGTGGAAGACTGCACACAAACGCAATCGATGTTACCTGATACACCTCTGACCTGATTTAGCTACACTAGTGGAGGTGATGAATTCTATCAGGTTTTGGAGAAAGACGTTTGAGTAATCATTTGGTAGTTAGCTGACACCTTTCATACTACTGGTAATTTGAG